GTAGCGTGAAACTCCGCGGGGAACAGCGAGAGTCTCGAACGCGATTCGCTCGCTCGGAGATAAATCCCGTGGCGCTCCGCCGCGGCGCGTAATGGAGGAGCCGACGACCGCGAAACGCGGCCACAGCAGTACCAGCAGCACCAGCAGCGCCGGCAGCAACAGCAGGATCAGCAGCGGCAACAATAACAGCAGGAGCGGCAACGGCACAACCGTGCGCAACAACGACCGTCACAACCGTCGCCGCCGCCACGGTAATGCCGTGGTGCGTCGCGTCGGCAGAGCGTGAGCCGCGCGATTCCTGTCGTCGACTGTTCCGGCACCCGGCATCCCGGCGGCCGTCGCCGGGCGTGAGAGGCGGGTCGAACGTGCTATGGGATCGTCCGGAACGACGACGCCGTACGACGCCGCAACGACCGTTCGATTCCTCCTGTTGCCGTGACGTTTGCCGACCATCGGGCCGCGCCAGGCGCGAACAAGGAGTAGGAGCGACAGCACCTCAGATACGCTTCTTCGGCGCGCCGCGACGCACCGCGCCCTTCCACGTTCGCGTCCTACGTGTCGTCGATCGTACCTAAACAACAACGCCCGGTGGGCGAGAAGGATAAGATCGCCGAGAGGTTAGGCTGGCATGGGGATTGATCCCCGTGAGGTGGCATCGTCCGTCGAACTCTGACAATCAGCCAGCCAGCCACCCTCCCTCTCTCTCTCTCTCTCTCTTTCTCTCTCCCCCCTCCCCCTTTCCCACTCTCCTATCGCCGCCACCCGCGCGTCCTACCCTTCCGCGCCCTACAACGGTGTACACCGCGCCCGCGCGTGCCCTTTTCCGCTTGCGGAAACTGCGGTGAGTGTCGCGTTGTATCCGTCGTTTCTCTTCTATCGTATCGCGTCTCATCGTATCGCGTCGCGTCCCGTCGTCGTCCTCGCGCTTCCCAGAGGGCATAGAGGATATGCCCTACACGGGGATCGATCCCCGTCATTGACCCAAAACTGACATCGTCGCCGTCATCGTCGTTATTATTGTCGTCGTCGACGCGAGTGTGGTGGAAAATCGTGTGCGCGCAGTTGGATCGTGTATCGATAATTAAATCACCGCAACCGTGGATAACAACGGCCGGTACGAGATGCAGAAGCGGGACGGCAGGGACAACCGCGGCGACAAGGAGCTCGGAGCGCGCGGCTCCGATCGCGACCAGGAGGTCGCCAAACGGACCTCCAGGGGCAGCGGTAATGCCGCCCGGTCGAACGTGCACTCGTCCCGGCACAGCGTCACCTCGTCGTCCGGCGTGCTCATGGTCGGCCCGAACTTCCGGGTCGGCAAGAAAATTGGCTGTGGAAACTTCGGGGAGCTTCGTCTCGGTGAGTCCTTCCTCGTTATTGAATCAGTTTTTTCTTCTTTTTTTTTTTCATAAAAAAAGAAACGAGCGAAACCTAGACTTTCCGAGAAGTAAAAGGAAATATTTACGATGCAAACGTAATATTCTATTATCGTTTCGCTCAAATATCCGTCTTGACGTTTGAAACAACGTTTGCTGTACGCGGAACGTTCCATCGAGACGTTAATCTTAATGGCAGGTTTCCTGATAAAATTATGATCGATTTTTCCTCAGCGAAGACGTCGAGATACCGACAGTTGTTGAGAGCAATTGCGAGAGAACTTTCCGCAAACTGTGCTTCAGCAGAGAATGAATAAATAACAGAATCTCGTCTCTTATGATTAATTTTTAAAATAATCCAATATAATTTTAATTGATGAATTTTAATACTTTAAGGCCCGATTGCACCAATGTTACTTTGACTTTAAGCGAGACTTAAAACTTTTTCTCTTTAAAACCGAGAGAAAGACAGAGAGGAGAGAGTTTTAAGCCTCGCTTAAAGTTAAAGTAACGTTGGTACAATCGGACTTAAATTACAAAGGCCCATTTCTACCAATGTAGATTAACTTTAATCTCAGTTCAACTTACTCTTTATCTTTTTCTAATTCCCAGAACTGGAAAAAGATGAAGGGTTAGTTAAACCAAGATTAAAATTAAACTATATTGGTAGAAACGGGCCAAAGACATATAATGTCGAAAAGTGGAAAGTAAACGATGACCTTCCTCGACATTTTCGCCAAGAAAAAAATCGACTCCAAATTAAGGCATTCTGCCATTACAATTAGTCATGAGAATTGCGGGACGTTTCGTATCTATTTACGCGAAAAACATCGTACATATGAAAATTAGAGATAAATTTAGACAAATAGAATGGAGCTCATCTTCGAACGAACGATCATTTGATCTCGTAATATAGCAATTCGCCATTACGTCAAACAGCTTTTCTTAAAACATTTTTATCACATAATCTCTTTCGTATTTTTATACCTACATTAAGTTAATTCTTGTCTCGTAAAACCGGCATCGTAATAAAATCGACGCTGGTCTGAGGGAAGCATCCTGAAATTAAATCGACGAATAAAAATAGTTTTTCGCTAGATGAAAAGTACAGATTATCTGTGACTTATCTATCACGAATTTATGTATGAAGTATATTTTATGAATCAAGAAAGTTTTGAAGTACTACCGCGAATTTATACGAAGTATACTTAATGTATATATAATGAATTAAAGTATATATAATGAATTAAAAAAATGTTTTAAACTTTTAATACTATTTATTTATCGGGAATTTATACATAAAGTGTATATAATGGTTTCACAATTCATATAAATCCATTAAAATCGAAAATAAAATAAAACGCTATGCCGAGAAAAGATTTCGGAACAATGCCAGGAGCGATGTAGGGCACACGAACTTTTTTCATATTCTTACAAGTTGAAAAACGAGCGAAACGACACATTACATCTCCGTCACGTGGTCAGCATTCACCGTTTTTAGTCGCGAATTGAATTATTGTTTACCAAGATATTGCAATCTAAACTCTCGTGTGTAACAGTGGTGAAATTAGAAGTTATCAGCCCCTCGAGAGAGCTTGCGGCGTTTGTATGATTAATGACGTCTGCCGCGTGTTGAAAACAATGATTCTAACATTGGGAGAGGCTAACGCTCTCCCGATTATCACGGAATAGCATAATACACGGTTCCACATACTGACATTACTGTATATAGACTGGAAGCCTATAAATATTGATGTGCCCCCCACAAAGCGGAGTCATCGTATTCTTCTAATAATTATTAATCACAAACAAACAGTACGAATTAATTTTATTTCTTTTGAATTATAAAATTGAACGTTCGATTTTCAACTAAAAATATATGATGGTTTGAAAAACATTGAGAAACTTATGCACTATAATTATTAACCGCAAATAGTACGAATTATTTTTATTCTCTTTGAATCAAACGTTCGATTTTCAACTAAAAATATGCTTTTTTTCTATCTCGAGTTTTGATTTTTTAAATATAATTTTTCTAATAAAAATTTAGCAACACGGTCGTATTTTACAGAATTAATTCTCCGATGTCTGTTTAAATTGAAAATTTGCCGATAAAAGAAAACCTGTTCGACGTTCTTTCGGTATTGAAAGATACCTCCTCAACTGACGCGTTTCTTAGACTCGAGTTTCTCAACAGAGAAATCTTTTGCCGAGCTGACGAAATATCAGGCGGGCTGACACAGCGAAACGGCTTTGCAGCTTTGATGCGCTTGGAGCAACATCTTGGTAGCGTTTCATCGCGCGCGAGCAATGCTCGTGGAAACATTGCGTTTTCCAACATAATGACCGCGATTGTTACTGCAAAAGCGTTCATGCGGAAAATCCTACAGCGCTCGGCTCATTGCGCGGTTTATACGAGCCACGATTTCGCTAACGCGTTATTACCCATTCGTAATGATAACTTTGTTAGTAATAGTCACATTAACAGCTCGTTCGATGTCATCTCGTTATTATATCACTCGCGACAAGTTAATAATTACCTTTCATCAACTGCTAATATCAGAGATTGTATACTTAAAAAGATAGATAAACTTATCTCGTGGAGAGTATATTTTCCTAGAAGAGACACAGATAGAGAGGGGGGAGGGGGAAACATATGGAATGAAAAGATCAAAAGAGAACATAAATTTTCGCTCCGCGAAATATTTATCCGAAATGAACATGGAGAATAAATGTAGAAGAATGATAATCTTCTTCGACAAGGCCCCAGGGCGAACGAAAGAATTTCCAGAAATCGCTCTTGCGTGATTCACCTTTGAATACTTACTCTTGCGGGTGAATATTCGTGTCTTCTTGAAATGCCTGCCACGACGCGAGACCGCAGCTTGCTCGAAAAATATTTAAAGTTTACCGGACGTTCCTGCGTTAGGAGCGACACTTGTGAAGTATATCGCGTTATCTTTCCTCGAATAAACAAGTCACGCTGAGATACGGAAAAGCGAAATTTAGCGCAATATCCATGCTGTTATAACTTGATTTTAATTTTAATTTTAATCTTAATTTTTATCAGATTCAATTCAGAAGTAATGCAGGAAAAAATAGTGTTCGATTGAATTGTTGCTAGGAAAAAAAATTATATTTATCAAGAAATCCGCTGCAAGAAATAGAAACTATGGCGATCAATTACGTATTTTGAAACGAGATGAAAATTACAAGAGTAAGTTTACTAGAATATTTATAACTTCATTGGTGTGAATACCTAATCAATTCATTTTTGTAATTTTCACCTCGTTTCAAGATACACAGTTGACCCTCTGATTGTTGATTTATTTCATATGCTGTCGGTGTATTTTAGCAAATAAAGCACAAAAACCGACGCTCGCGTTTGGTAAATTTAATGATACTTGAATATGCCATTGATAACGGCGTGAGTCATTGACAATTAAATTGCTTTACCGTGTTGCATCGCTTTTTACGCTTGCGTTGGTATGTCGTGGCGACGTTACTCTTCTTTTTTCTTGTATCCACGTTCATTAGTCGAAAATATTGAAACGTTAAGTACCCTTAAAACAAATGATTCATATCGTTAGTATTTTCTGTTATATTTCCCTGCTTTCAAACATTGTTGTATTCAACACACGTAGAATCAATAATTGTGTAGGAATTACACTAAAAAAAGAAGTATTTAATTTTAAAATGTTCTATTCCTGTTTCCATTTTCAAACACTTAAAGACAAAGACACTTGTGTTTTAAATCCAAACACATAGTGTTTTGTTTATTGAAAAAAAGTTCAAAACTAAAACATCTTTAAATGTTATGTTAAAACGGAGACAACAATAAAATATTTTAATGTCTTAAAATTAAATACTTCTTTTTACAGTATAATAGTTATTATATCGGTATAATTAGTATCGTTTGACAATTATATTAAGTTACATTGCTTTCTTTTCCCTTTCTCGCTCGAGCATCCCAAAATACACTGAGAAAAATATTCTAGTTAAACCAAGAAAAAGACCCAATCAGAATGACATTTTAGCCAAACAGAGTTTCTAATTATTAAAACCAGTTATCGTAACCTGAAATTCTATTTGGTTTCATAAAAATGCCATTCTGGATGGACCTTTTTATTAGTTTAATCAGAACATTTTTTTCTGTGCAGTTATATCATTTTGACGAGCGTAAAAATGTGCAAAAGAACGTGAATTAGGCGAACAGGTTTGCTTGGATCCTCTCCTAATGACAACGAAACGAGCATCGGCGGTGGCAACGATGCGTTTGTCGAATGAATAACACTCGACACCGGAATGAATCCGAGCCCTTCATTGGCTTGACTGGTTGCCCCGGCCGCGCAATGAGGGACACGCGTGTGTCGTTAATATCATTATGCATGCGTTATCAGTTTATCACCTACCTCGTGCTTGTCTTGCTTCTCGCTTGCTCGAGGGTCATAAACGCGTTTGCCAGCAGCAATTCACTCGTCGCGCGCATCGAGTACGAAATCCGACGAAAATTGTCAGCAAATTGCTTTCCGGTCTGCTGATACATCGCCTCAAATCCAGAATCGTATATACACCTTAATGACCCAATTTCGAAACTCTCGGCCCCCCATCTCGGCCCAGATTTTTGTAAGTCATACACATGTACACACGTACATACTGCACGCGATCGTTATTTTGCGCACAGTTAGACAAACAAGTTAAATAAACAGGTTCTTTGAACAATAGAGATAACTCGTGCGAAGCAATGTTCTTTCTATGAGAAAAAGATTATTCGATATATGAATCTTGATTTATATGTTAATTTCTTAGACACCGTTATCTCATTCGGCAGTCTCTACTGATTGACGTTCCGATTATTTAGTAAACGTCTAAGATATCGCGTGATGGACATGGAACACTCCGTACTGACAATGAGAAAAATATTCTGGTTGTATCAACAAGAAATACAAACAAAATGAATTCTGATCTTATGAATTAGAATTC